GTATATATATATATATATATATATATATATATATATATATATATTAAATACGCCTTAAAACCATATAAATAAAGTTCGAAAAATGTTACGGCGCTTAAAAAAGCAAGCTTAAATTTAAATTTATTTAAACGCGTTTTTACGGTAATAAACGGAAAATATTTAAATTATATCGTAAAAGCAAAAATAAGGATTTAAACAAACCTTAAAAAAATGTAAGCAATAAAAAATTAAAAAGCGCTGCGGACATTAAAAAGCTTGCAAAAGTTTTTAAAATTCGCTAATTTTTACCGCAATTTTATTAACCAATATTTGGTGAAAGCGGCGCTATTAATAATATTAACAAAAAAAAGCACCATTTTATTAAACGCCAAAGGTTAACGCGGCATTTAAAGCAATAAAATTAGCTTTTTTGCAAGCTTTAATGCTAGCATAATAAAAATTAAATTTGGAAACGCGCGTAAAAACGAATTATTTCGGAAAAGCATTCGGGGGTTATTTATTCCAATAAGGAAAAAATAAGTTATAGCGCCCGGTAGCTTTTTATTTAATTAAACTAGCAAAAGCGCAAAAAAATTACATTATTTATTATAAAAAGCTATTGGTAATTATAACATGCTTTAAATCGTAAAAAATAAAATTACGAAACGTGCAAAACCCGTTTTTTATCTTTATAAATTATAAAGCCTTAAACCATTTTTTAAAATTTTAAATAGTTATTAAAAAACAAGCAAAATGGGCAAAAACGCTATCCCAGTTTAAATATAATTTGCAATCCAAGCTAAAAAGGCACGCAACCATTTCAAACGCATTATCCAAACGGAATTAAAACAAATCGAATTTGTTTTAAAAAGTTACATTTTTTAACCCGGTATTATTATATACGGGGTTAACAATTATAAAAAATTAAAAAAAACCTTAAAAAGGCCCGGATAAAAACGCAAACAAATTTGGAAAAGGATTTACGGAAAATATAAAATTAAAAAAAGCAATAAACAAATAACTCTTTAACGGGAAATTAATTATTTAAAAGTTAAAAACTAATAATATTATAAAATATAGCAATTAAAACCGATAAAATACATTATTACAAACGCCGGGTAATAAAAAAAACGCAAACCGGTTTTTTTTAAACGCTAAAACGAAAGCACAAATTGCGAATTGCTTTTTATTAATAAGCGGGGCATTTTAATTTAAAAAGCATTTTTAATTCCCATATTAAAAATTATTTATTACGGTTATATTATAAAAAATTTACGCATCGTTAA